TTTTTTTTTTATATTTTTGTCGATATAATTTCCGTGCTAAACATAAAATTATATTTCTGAAATTATCAATTTGTATCGATATATCTATCAGTAGAAAAGATAGTGTGTCGTATTTTAAAAATCTTTTTGGTTTTTGCATACCTAATCGATTTCAATAATGTTGTGTTTACGGTACGTTGGGATATCCTGTAATAGGCGCCGCTAATTCGACAGTCTAACGGATTAAGATAATAAAATTTAGATTTTGCATTTTTGTTTGTATAATAATTCTAATTTGATTGGATAAATGAAAAGAATATGCAGTTTTCAGTATTTCCTTATAATCTATCCATAGATGAGGAAATGGTGCCATATTTTGGAAGACATAGTTGTAAGATGTACATAAAAGGAAAACCAATTAGGGTTGGGTTGAAACTATGTAGTTCAAATGGCTATTTATTTAAATGTTTACCTTATAGTGGAAAAACAAGTGCGTATGAGTCTATGAGAAAACGTTGTGCTGGATTTGTTGTCAGTGATTGAATGAAAATCTAATCATCGCATATTTTTTGATAACTTTTTCTCATCTAACAAGCTATTAGGTTTGATAAATGAAAAAGGATTTCACGCTACTGAGCCTATCCGCGAAAACTGTAACTTGCAATAGTACAATGGAAAGTGTAAAAATATGAAAAAACAAGATCATGGTACTTACGATTTTTCTCATGACTCCGAACAAACTGTATTGTTAGTTAGATGGAATGGCAATTCTGTAGTGAAGTTCCAACAAATAATTGTACCATTGAACTTCTCGCAGGTGGAAACAGATATGGGTGGTGTTGATTTGCATGATAACGGCATATCAAATTACAGAATAAAGGTAAAAGGAAAGAAATGGTGGTGGCCCCATTTTATAAATGTGATTAATAGTGTTATTGTTAATGCGTGGAAAATATATACCGTGGCAAATAAAACCAATATGTCACAATTACATTTTAAGTCTTAGCAGTTACCCTTATGGAAATGGAAGTACCACTCATCGAAGATAACATTTAAGGAGACGGTATATCGGCTTCAAATGATCCAATCAACAATCCTACAAGATCCAATTAAGGACGACCATCCAGAAACAGTTTTTTAGAAGAAATTATATTTGATAATGAAGAACAAATGAATCTATACTGGATCAGCTAAACATAAAGAAAATATTAAGAACACAAATATCAGAACAAATAATAAGCTATTTTGGACATACGCTTCGAAGAAATGATCTTGAAAAACTTACCATCCAGGGAAAAGTAGAAGGCAAAAGAAATAGAGGTAGATCTCCCATACGACACACCATATTGTTGCTACCATTGGCGCTCCTTGTCAGAATGTGCTAGAATGGCAGAAGATAGAAAAACGTGGAGGAACATTGGGAAATTTAGCTAATAGCTTCATGATATCACGATACCTGCATCAGGTTAACGACTAAGAAGAAGAAGATATTTGATAATGTTGGTCACTTCATTGCAGAGGAAGAGAACAAAGCAAGAAGAATATTCAGACATCTAGAACATCCAACATTATCAAATATACCTTCTGCTAACAAACTGTTTCTGGATGATGTGTGTGTAAAAGACATCTACATAAAAATTGCTTTGAATCATTTCACAGTAAATAAAAATTAAATAATTTTTTTTTGTTCTGGCAAATCCCATCGTTGCGTATGCGCAACATTTTGTTATTAAAAAACTAAGAACTTTTATTTTTTTTTTTTAACTTTATAAATGAGTATTTAGATATAATTTTAGCAATGAAATGCAATAAGAACAAACAACACTTGTTTTTCTTCTACTCTTGGGAACTATTGGGTTAAATAACAAATGTCAAAAAATAACTTTTTCTAAAATATTGATTTTATTGAAAACTAAAAAAAAAACAACATTGTACATTTTTTCTGTTTTCTTTATAAAATTACAATTAAGTCGTGATTATTAATACTGTGTATTACCACCTCTATTGTGAATTACACTCCTCATTCGATTTGGTATTGAATTGATCAAATACTGGATGTCTTTTTGAGGAAAAGCTTCCCATTCTTCCATGAGCGCCAACCGAAGCTGCTCACGATTTATTGGATATTCTGTTTTTTACACTTCATTTAAGTTGGTCCCAAACATGTTCAATCGGGTTTAAATCTGGACTTTGAGCCGACCAGTTCATTTTTGGCACACCGACAGTTTCCAGATATTTTCCATAAGTTTCCAAGATAGTTTCCATAAAAGGCATTACATGCTCGTCTAGAATTTCGGTAATGCGAGATACGAGTAATACGAGATCAGTACAGCCCTCGAATGAAATGCCTGCCCAAAATATTACCGAACCTCCTTCAAAAGCAACACGTACTCATCGAACACAAGCAGCACATCGTTCCCCACGTCTTTCTGTATGTTTTGATGCGACCATCTGAGCTATAAACAACCATCCTGGACTCATCATTAAACAAAACATTTTTCCAATCTTCTATCGACCAATGCTCGTGGTCTCTAGCAAACTGTAGTCGGCATTGTCGATGTGCTGCTGTTAACAAAGTTCCTCTTGCTGGACAGCGAGCTCTTATACCAAATTCTCTCAACCTTCTTCTCAAGGTAGAAGTGCTTAAAGTCCACCCTTGAGCATTTTGAAAACGGTTTTGGATTGATGTAGCCGTAAAGAACTGAGAAGGTTTTGCAAAGAAGTGCGTTGTAAAAAACGGTCTTCTCTGGCTGTCGTGATTCTTCTTAGGTGAGTTGTCATGGTGGAGGAACTTTTTTCTTCGACAAATAAGTCCGTTTTTTTCTGCAATCCGGAATCTAATCGATCCAATAATTCGACTTATTAGAGCTCTGTGATCGTTTTGCTCTTATCCAGTTAGTCCATGTATATCACATCTTGTGAATCACAGAAAACGGTGGCCATCACCTATCCCGCCGATAACACAGTCTTGGCCTTTTTCAAAAGTACCGGGTGAAGCCCACTATTTCGAATGTTTCTTCGTCCCTGATGTGTGCCAGTAGATCCATGTTTTATCAACGGTCACTAAATAACGCAGAAACACCTTCGGATTGAGCTTAAATAGCGTCAATCACTGCTCTGACGTGGTCTCACGGTTGCGATTGTTGTCCCGAGTCAGCAAACGCGGCAACCAAGGCGCCAACAGGTTTCTTATGTCCAAAATGTCATGCAGATGCATACTGTGTCATCTATCTCGCGCACCGTCAGCCGGAGGTCTGCCAACTTCGTGGTAGCTGTTTTCTTTCGGGATCAAAAATCTACGTGCGACCACGTTAAAGCTCGTTAAACCAATTTTTGCCGGTTGATATCGAAGGAGAAAAGTACAGAACATCCAACCGCTATTTAATTTGGCTGTTTGTACTTAAAAAAAATTGTCACTCATAAGTAAAAAAGATAGAAAACACCTGAAAACCTTGAAAATAAATAAGCTTCTTATTTAAGAGATTTATTTTTATATACAGTTCCTAAAAAAACTGATATGACTCTTAAAGCGTTTTGTAGAAAATTGGGCAGTGTATTTTGAAGAATACATACTTACATACTGTCACTGCCAAATCTTAAAATTTGTCAGATAACTTATCCTGTTCAACCTAAAAAAATGGATCCACATATTAGCAAAGAATTAAAAGCAAGAATATTAACGAATTTAGAAGATTGTTGGTCACTATCTGCCGTAGCAAACTATTTTAATATAAGCACAACAACAATTTTTAATATCAATAAAATATGGAGAAGAAACTCTGGAAAGAAAGCAAGGTTCTGGAAGACCAAAAATATCTACCACTCATGAATATCGTACGCTTTTGGGGAGATTAGGGGATAATCCTTTTGAATATGAAGAACTTGGAGCAGAATTAAAGCATCGCGTCTTATGTAATGAACTGCACCAAAAAAGAAACAAGCTATTACGCTACAACAGAAACAATCAAGACTTATATTTTCTTTAAACCATCAGCTACAAAATCAAGATTTTTAGCACAGGTAAATATTTACAAATGAAAAAATTTTTCAATCTAAAAATGTCAAAATTGAGGTGTATAGACCAGATAATAATAGATTTAATTCTCTATATGTTGATAGATATCGATCAGCTGGTCATTTCATTTAGAAGAATGGGAATGGTATCGCGTATTGATCTTAGGTTTCTTGGGCAGATTTATCTGAATATTCTAGAAAACATCATGTTTCGCAGGGTGTAACAGTTGTATCCAGAAAATAATTTTATCCTACAACAAGAAAATTGTCCTGTTCACACTGCAAATAGAATAAACCAGTGGCTCCAGAATAACAACATCAAAACCTTACCATGGCCCAGCTACAGTCCAGATTTAAACCCAATTGAGAATGTGTGGGGGGTTATTATAAAACGGTTATATCGGCGTAATTTTTACCTCAAAATTCTGAAGAACTGTGGCACGGTATGCAACAGGTTTGGGAAGAGCTTCCTGAAGAAGACAATTTCATAGTTCCTTTGACGCAGATGGACCAAAGACTACAATCTCTTATGAATGCTGATGGAGATATTACAAAATATTAATTTATTCTTCTTCTTCTTCTATTTATAAAAATATTAAAGAAAACCCTATTTTATGTAAAAACTATAATTTATATACTATTTATAAAATGCAGGAATTCAAAATAATATCAAAATATAGACCTTAATAATTATTACAATTTATGAATTAATATATTTAATCAATTGTTTGTTGTTTGTTTATTTTATTACTTGACTGTCATAATAAATATAATGTCAGACCAATCAAATACAATGCTCAAATGATCAAATCTTACTAAGAGTCATATCAGTTTTTTAGGAACCAGTTGTACATCCTATTTAATATAAATAAATCGAATTAATTTTTGTAATTTTCACATTGTGTTACTTCTATTATTACCAAAATTGTATCAAATAATGTTTTACGTAAAAAAGAAGTCGGATATACAGAATATATGGAGTTTTAATGATACAGTTTTCTTTACAGCCATGAATCAACCATCGGAAAACTGCGAAAACTACCACTTAAAATGGAATCACTACAACTCGTATATGCATTCATGCATAGCTACTTCGCTCTACCAAGATTCATTCGCAGACGTCGCCCTGGTCACAATGGACGGCCACCAAATGATGGCTCACCGTTACGTTTTAGCCTACAGCAGCCGTTATATGGCACAGGTAAACTCTATAATTACGTAACATTACTTTTTCTTTTGTTTTTGTTTACTGTATGTTTGTGTATTAAGTAATTCAATTAGTTAAACCGGAAACCGTGGAATCTTCGCTACGCTATCATCATTCACTTTTTTTAATGACAAAATGTTTATATGTCACTATATTCTGTACAAATGTACGGCATATTCAGTTCAGAGAACATAACAGTAAAAACTTAAAATGATATTTTTAAATTATGCCGAAAACTGTACATTGCTCCACAGAATAGGTCTAATGTATCACAAAAACACTAGAGCCATTTCCGACGGTGTGATAATATTAAAGATAGTGCAAACACTCCTGACCACGGTGCAGTAGACGAAATTTGGTTTAGTCATCACTTCAATGCGAAATGCACTGTACTATGCAAAGTGAATGGTAGAATTTTTTAATTTGGTAAGCACAATTCCACTTACAATAGAACTTTTCTCCGTCTTCACGCAGCTCCATGGTCAGGAGTGTATGCACTATCTCTACCAGAGTAAAAACTTACAGGAACTCTAAAAAAATAAAACAAAAAAAAAAACAAATATATTATATAGAGCTCGGTGCATATTTTGGATAAATTGTATAAGTGCATATGCAAATATTAAAAGTGCATATTTTCAGGTATACCACAATATAGAAAAATATTTGAGAACGCAAGTAATGCAATTTAGCGAGGTAGGTAACAATGTTCCTCGGAAAATATACCCCTTATTGGTATTAGCATAATATGAAAATATAGACAGTAAAACGCGATAAGCCGATTTCCGGCATTAAATAAAACCAAAAAATCATAAATCAATACGGTTTTTCACGAAAGCTTAACAAATAGCAAATTACCAAAATTTGTGTTAGCAAAAAACAAAATGCAATTGTCGTCCTGTCCGTAGTTACAGTTAGTTCAGTTTGGTGTATTCTTTGGTTCAGTAAAGTTGTCTTTAAGTGTTTATCAAAAGTATTTGAAAATGTCAAAACAAAGTGCAAGTTTATCGTTAAAAATTAATTGATGGTCATGGGTTGTATTGGTGTTATTTAATAATTTAGCAAAATACATAATCAACAAAAATCTTATTTAAAACATGCGAAAGGTTTTTGCAATCACAATCAATGCAACGTTTTATGCTTGTTTAGCATTGGCTGTTAAATAATTTGTGTTCGATTGTTTGGTCTGTTGTACAAACCTCGTCCTTTTTAGGGTGTAGTAGTTGTATATAAGTGCTTATTTTTTTTTATACTAGTGTAGTGAAGGAGCGGTAGTTTAAAGTAAAATGAGTAATTTCGAAGAAAATAAAATATAGTCGAAACGGAGAGTGTTATCTCCAGAAGAACGGCATTTAGTTATGAAAGTCGAAAGTTATTTCAATTTGGAAAAAAATAATATAGGTCCATTGACATCTGTTATGAGAGTTCAGAAACGCACATGCGATGCTTGCGGTATCTCAGATAGGACATTCCGAAGAATTAATAACATGAGTGAGGATGAAATAAATAAAGTAAGCAAGAGAAATCGTCGACATCCAAAAACTTTAAATTTGCACCAGTCAATTAAACTTGCAATTAAAAATATTATACATTATTATATAAAGCCAAAGAATATATAACAATTAGTGCTGTGTTACAAAAAATAAAAGACAAGGAACTGTGTGATATTAGTTTTACAAGTTTGTGGAGAGTGCTGAAATATTTAGGTTTTCGATATAAAAAGACAAATAATAGACAAGTATTGTGTGAACTCTCTAATGTTGTTTTAAAACGGTGGCATTTTTTAAGAAAATACATGAACAATAAAATGTCTGATAGTCCGAGTCTAGTTGTATTTTTAGATGAAACTTGGATTTTCGCTAAAGAAAATATGTCACAATCATCCTAGCAAGATGGCACCACGAAATGTTATTCTTCTAGTCGTTCCGGCAATGGTAAACGCTACATTATACTTCATGCTGGAAATAATGAAGGTTTTATTCCTGACGCTAGTTTAATGTTTTCGTCCACAAAGAATACAGGTGATTACCATGGAAATATGGATGCAAATATTTTTGAAGAATGGTTTGAAGAAAATTTGTTAAAAAAATTGAAGCGACCATCCATAATAGTGTTGGATAATGCATCCTAGTGTTGTGGAACGCATAGCGGAACTAAAATGGAACTGGGCAGGCCATGTAGCGAGAATGCACGATTCACGATGGACGAGCAAAATTACAAAGTGGAGACCAAGAGCAGACAAACGCAGTAGAGGAAGACCACCTACACGTTGGGCCGACGACATCAGGCGTATCACTAAAAATTGGCAACAAAGAGCACAAAATCGTGAGGAATGGAGGAGTTTAAGGGAGGCCTATGTCCAGCAGTGGACGTGATAAATAGAGGCTGGATGATGATGATGATGAATGCATCCTACCACTCAAGAGTAGAAGAGAGATTTCCTTCAAGCAGCTGCACAAAAGACGAAATAAAGTTGTGGTTGACATGGAAAAAAACTTTATCATAATGGCATATTTTTGAAAGTTGATTTACTTCAAAGGTGTGGAGGGCACATAATTCAAAAGAAATTTGTTACTGACCAAATGGCTCTTAAATATGGCCATGAAGTTCTTCGACTTCCGTCCTACCATTGCCACTATAATGCGATTGAGTTAGTTTGGGGTATAGCCAAAAATTTTTATGATAAACATGCATCCAAAACAACAGATGACGCTAGCGTTCTTAGTTTATGGAAAGAATCGCTAGAACAAATAAAGGCAGAACAATGGCAAAATTGTATTAGATATACGGAAGACATAATTGTTTAGTCTTTTCAAACCGAGCGAGTTATAGATGAGGTCCGGCCTCTAATTATTCGGATACACAATTCAGATAGTGACGACTCTGATAGTCAAATATCTGACAGTGAATAGTACAAATCGTTTGCTGAAAAGAAGTAACAAAAAAGTGCTTCTGGAATTCAATTCGGTCTTTGTGGTGGGTTTTAGTTAAGCCATAAAGTACCTTCGGTCTAATTACTGGACTGCATATTCTCAATAGCTTTGGTATAAACCTTTGGTTTTGCTGAAAATTTGGAAGTGATTTAGTGCCAATTTGTTTCAAGCTCATATTTAATACAGTGTCTGTAGAAAGTAAAGTCTTGGATGCATTTTATTTAATTTTGGACATACCAGCAACTTGGCAAGTATTTATGTATTTATATATGGCAACATTTGATGCCGACAAATAATTTCGAGTATTCGAAATATTCCGTCTCACTTCTTTAACACGCCTTGCATATACATATTATATTCATGTTATTTGCCTTTAATACAGTAAAATCCAATATTATTACTGAACATAAAATACAGGAAATTAAATATTTTTACTTTTCAGGCGATCGGAATTAAATATTAACGCCCCACTGTTTAAGGCCCACTGATCATATCTTAATTGCATATCGGCCGTCATAGGGTAAAAGGACTTTTGATCTGATTTTTGTTGATACAATTATCACACTCTGCTATAAAAGCCATCTCCAGAAATATACTCTTATCTTAATAGTGTTGCAAGAGTGCATCTTTCTGGGTATAATCTAAAGTCACTTTTGTGGAAGGTAATCCGATCTGTTATGGATCTTGAACTTTGTCCTATATATTATTTATTACAATCTGTACAAGGGATACTGTAGATTATATTTCTTGTTAATTCTTTAGGATGTCTATCTTTTAATTTTGAGAATACTATATTTATGGTTCTTCTTTTTGTGGTGCCTATCCGTTACGGATGTTGGCAACTAGTATGGCAATTCTAACTTTATTGACCGCAGCTCGAAATAGTCCTGAAGTGGCCAAGGAAAACCATTTTCGTAAGTTCTGGAGCCAAGATATTCTTCCTGGTCCCCTCTTTCCGTAGACCTCTCCCTGTAATATACGTTGCAGCAAGTTATATCTATGATCGTTTCGTATTATATGTACAAGATATTCTAGTTTGTGCTGTTTCACTGTGGATATAATTTCACATGTTTTATCCATCCGACGTAGAACCTCAATGTTTGTTATTCGGTCCACCCAGGAGATCCTCAGTATCCGTCTATAACACCACATCTCAAACGCCTCGAGTTTTCCCATGGATGCGGTTAGTGTCCATGATTCAACCCCACAAAGCAGCACTGTAAACACGTAGCATCTCAATAAACGGATTTTCGTTTTTAAGGGTAGGTCGTGGCTCTTAAATATCTTGCTCATTCTGACAAACGCTGACCTGGCTTTTTCAATTCTTTGTTTTATCTCAACTGAGTGGTCCCATTGGTCGTTTATGGTGGTTTCTGAATAGCAATAACGGGGCACTTGGAGTATTTATTGCTGATCTACCAATAATTGACTAGGTGGAATATGCTTCTTACTGATGACCATGTACTTTGTTTTCTTGATGTTCAGCTTTTAAAATCAAGCCCGTATTCTTGACTGATTCTCTAAAATTGCGTCACTAGTGTCTGAAAACCTTATAAATTGTCTGCAAAGAGGATGTTGTCGTCTGCATATCTGATGTTATTCAGGCGCTCACCATTTATGAGAATACCCTCTTCGATATGCTCTAAGGCCTAGCTCATGACGTATTCTGAATAGACGTTAAATAATGGGGGAGAGAGTATGCAGCCCTGTCGTACTCCTCTCTTTATTGCAGCTTCCTCTGTTAGTTGGTCTTTCACACAAATGGTTACTGATTGGTTGTAGTAGATGTTCTTGATTACTCGAAGATCTTTGTTATCCAGATCAGTTGCCTTTAGTACATCCATGAGCTTATTATCGTGCTTAATTCTGTCGAAAGTTTTCTACTAGTCGATAGAACATACACAAACATCGCAGTTGACGTATCTGCACCTTTGAAATAATACCTGAACCGTGAACAAGGCTTCTCTTGTACCTAACACATCCCTGAATCCAAACTGCGTTCGTGAGATCTGTGACTCGCATTTCTGAAAATTCTTCTGTGTATTATCTTTAAGAAGGTCTTAAGAATGTGGCTCATTAGATTGATAATACGATGCTCTTCGCATTTTTTGCTTTAGGTTTTTTAGGTATAGCAATAAATGTAGATTTTAACCAGTTCTCTTAGCCCAGGGAAATAAGCATTTTTTCATGACACTCGTCCGGCCAGGCAGGCGACAGTTGTTTTGAGTAGTATGGTCCTCTGTAACAAAAACCTATATCTTTCCTGCAGTCGATTTTTTGGACTTAATTAGTTATTAACAAATTAAGGTCAAAAAACGGAAAATTTTTGCTTTTTTCGTCTATCAGCAAAAAGTGAAGCAATTTAAACAAATTTTAGAAGAGAGGAAACTTATAAGTTATATAAAAACCTTCAAAATGGCGTCTTCAAAATGTTTCTATCCTTATTTGTTGCTTAGAAAGTTGCAAAATAAGTCAAAAATTTCGGTTTTTTATAAATGTTAATAACTTTTTTGAAAATAAACTTATAATATTTATATTTTATGAAATGATGTGTCTTGTAGTGCTTAAAATAGGGTAACAATTTTAAAGTGATCGGTCCAATAGTTTTAAAGTTATTTTATTTGTTTATCCCAAATTAACATTTTTTGCAACAATATAAGTCAGAAATTTATAAAGTTTTAGAAATTGTAAGGGTTGTTTCTGGTAGAAGAAGACTTGTTTTATTATTTACATTAAAAAAAAATTAAGAAAATTAATCTTAAATATTGCAAAATAATTTTGCAAAAACATGTCGATTTTTTGCTTATAAACAATTAGAATAACTTTTTAACCATTGACTGTAAAAATATTATTTTTACATATTTAAAAAGCTTGAATTTTTTTACAAATTTAAATAAAAAAAAGTTTGTCCTAAAATAATTTGGTACAAAGTTAGCCTCTTTTTTTATTTAATTCATAGCACCTTCGTTTATAACAATTAAGAAATCTAATGAGCGCTTTTTGAAAGAATATACATTATAGTATTAAACTACTAAATTTTAAAATTATTGCCCTTTAATGGAATCCTCCACAAAGCTTCAAAATGTATGTAAAATCCGTCGGCTTTGAAACTTTCGGGAGCTGAAGGGAGGGGGAAGGCGCTGTTAACTGTATCTCTGTTCCTTCCTTCCTTCCTACCTTTATGTATTTCAACGTTTCTTTTTGAACTTGTATGTACTTTTTGCGTACATTACGAATATGCATTATTTCAATAAATTAGTTACAATTCATTTTAAAATTAGTTACAATCTTACAGGGTGTTCTAGATTGTGGCAGACCAAACATATGTTTTTTTAAATGAAACACCCTGTATTTTATTTTAAATTTGAAATCTGCTTCACTTCCACACCACAATAATGTAAAGTTTTATTATGTTATACCGGATATTTAAAAAGTTATAACCAATATTACCTGAAAATCGTATTAAGTTTAACCCTGTATAATTAAAAAGGAGTATAGGTCCATTGATCTATTGCAACCATAGTTTTTTAATTATTGTTAAAAATTGTAAAATATATTCGTTTTCATAATATTCGTTA